AAAAAAAGATCTACAACTGGAATGATACCATGAAAGAGAGAAAATAACATGCATCGATTGTACTATCTCTAAAAACACACGAGAGTATGAAAAGGAAGATATTTTAAATGTGATCTCCATCATGGGCATCATTAACACATACCGAGAAGGGAGGTTGTATCAGAAAGTCTAGATTTCAACATGATCTGTAAGAGTGACTGATGAACACTTAGAAAATTTTAGAGAAATACTGATATGTCCAAAGAAGATACACTTACTAAAAATGGTTTCTTGGAGCTCATATGATGACTCAACAAGTAAAGGTGCTTACTGCCAAACCAGATGACCTGAGCTTGATCCCCAAGACCCACATGGTGGAAGGAAAGAACAGACTCCTCCTCTCATCTGCACATGTGTTCTATGGTACACTGCCACCCTGCCACCTAAATAAGTAAACAAAAGGAAAAATTTAAAGTAATTGTGTGTGTGTGTGTGTGTGTGTGTGTGTGTGTGCGCGCGCATGTGGAGGTCAAAGCTGTGGAAGTCAGTTATCTACTTCCATCATGTGGTTCCTGGGGATCATACTCAAGTATTGGTGGCAAATGCCTTTACTCACTGAATCATCTTGCCAGGCTAGTTTTTTTAATGACCCTTTGTTGGGTTTGGTGTTGGATATCTCTAATCCTAGCCCTTAGGAGGCTTGCAGCAGGAGAATCAGAAGTTCCAGGCTGCCTGGCAAACCTAGCAGGGTCCTGTTTCAGCCCCACGTCACTCTACCAAAAAATGGTTTATTTTCATAGTTTACCTGTATTATTCACTATTTGAAAATATCTTCCTTATTTCATTGGTTAGATGTCCTTCAATACATACTTGAATTTATGAGCAGCTACTCTTTTAAAAGGCTGAAATTAAGGCCAGGTGTGGTGGCACACATGAAAGGATTAAAGATCCCAGCACTCAGGAGGCAGAGGCAGGGGGATCTCTGAGACTGAGGCCAGCTTGGTCTACATAGTGAGTTCTAGGCCAGTTGGGGCTACAGGAAGACACTGTTTCAAAAATCATTTTTTAAAAGACTGAAGTTATTTTGCATGGTTGTGGTGTTATTGATCAGTCACAACATAATACTAGCTAACTGTATTAAATAATTTCTTTCCATTATTGAATTAAACTAATATTTACTAAAGACTATTGACAAACAGGTAACATGGGCAGAATTCTCCCAAGCTTTAAGAGAGGTGGTCATAGAGATGAAACTGGAAACTAGAGCAAGAGGTCCAGGGGCATGGGAGCATTTCTATGTGTCAGAACATTTTTCACAGACATAACCTTATCTCCCTGAGAAGGGAAATACCCTCTCCTTCTTAATTGAGGTTCATTGATTTAAGGAATCCTAGATGTCAGTTGAAGAGTGCTATGCTTATTTATTCATTCATCAACAAACACAGATTTAACTCCCATCTGTTAAATAATCTATGTGCTTGTCTGGGTGTAACTAATTTTATAATGTTCCTTATTCTATGGGAAAAGAAAAACTTCAAGATGCAATGAAATAATGGATATCACGTGTGTGTCAGTTAGGGCTGTCTGAGATGCCGAAAATTCTAAGAGCAGAAGACAGTTTCTAAAATTACTAGGAAACACTCTGGTGATCTGACGATTACGTATCTAATAACATCCCACTCATTGTCAGGAAACTATGTTGTGCCCTTTTGCGTATTTGAATGCAATACTCTTAACATGTCAAATACACATCACAAATAACATATGCCACACAGCTTACATCTTTCCCAATGATGCCATGCAGTCCATCTTACCACTCATTGTTGATGCCAAGAATATTTTTTGCCAGTTTTCAAGATGAAATCATGCTTGCCCTGAAAATCGAACAAACCAAACAATCAAGCAAACAAACAAAAACATCTTCTGTAGGAAGGAATCTGCACATACACACTGTTAACAATTTGTTCTGAGTCAACCTTCAATCTAGCTGTCATCCACAGGGCAGCTCAGGAAGAAGGTAAGACTCAGTGGCCTTGGTATATGTGAACCCTCCCTCCCGCACCACACAGGGAGAGCAGACAGTACAGAGAAAACACCAACACTACAAACCTCAGGGATGAGACTGAGTACCTGACCAGAGGGGCAAGACTAAACTTTGGAATGCTTGACTGCCTCTGTTTCTCTTCTTTTTATAATTGGCTGACTAAAGAGGAGATGGAAGACAGATCTTTAGGATGTTAACCCACTGACTTCTGAGACCACTGGCTGTCTGAACAAAACATGGTTGAAAGACTCAATTCTTGGGGTCTGGAGAGATGGCTCAGTGCTTAAGAACACTAGTTGTTCTCACAGAAGACCTGGGTTCGAATCCCAGCACCCACATGGCAGCTAACAACTGTCCATAACTACAGTCCCAGGGGATCCGACAGCCTCTTCTGACCTCCATGGGCATTGCACGACACGGGTGCACTTACCTACATGCAGGCAATACATGCATACACAAAAAATAAAATAATAAATTTAAAAAAAATTAAAAAAAAGATTCAATTCTAATCTGATTAGAGATGCATGCACCAACATCTCAGCGTTAGTAGCAAAAACAATGAGTCTTTCTGCAAGGAACAATATATTCTAAAATGAAATGGAGATCTTTTCAAAGGTTAAAACTTCATTCAATTTTATGTTTTAGGGTTTATACTGAGTTCAATATTGTATAGCTGTATTAATTCAACTATGAACCTAGAAACTTATAGCTGCTTGTGAAAGATAATGTACTCTTGCGCTGGAGTATGTTACTGAATATGTTAAAGCTGTAATGAAATGTGTCTTCTAATCGTGTAGTTATTAAAAATTACAAAGAATAAATAATGATTAAAAAATAAGCGAAAGTCAAATGAAGTGTATGAAGAAGACTAGGCCGTGTGTGTGTGTGTATCAGGAATTACCTGTCAGCTTTAACATGGAAGCCAGTGTGATGGTAAAGAACAGGTTACTATGACATACTTGATAATCAGTCAAACTGTGTATTTTAATAATGAAATAGAGATCTTTTTTAAAGGTTAAAAACCTCATTTAATTTTATGTCTTATAGGGTTTATACTGAGTACAATATTGTATAACTGTAATAATTCAACTGTAAACCTAAAAATTTACAGCCAATTTTGAAAGAGATGCATCTTAGCCCAGGACATTGTTATTGAATATGTCAATGCTGTTGTAATGAAATGCTTCTTCTAAGTATGTGGTTAATAAATAAATAATTTAAAAAAGATTCAATTCTTGGTTTTTGCCTATGTGACAGGCAGCATAGTCCTGTTACAGTTTAATTTATAAATTAATCACAGTAAGAGATTAACAATAGTAAAAAACTACAACAATATATTGCAATAGAAAAATTTTAACCCTATGACGTGTCTACTTTTTAGTTTTTCCACTAGATATTTCTAGATCATAGTTGAATACAATTAGTTAAAAACATGGAAAGCAAAACCATGGGTTAAGATAGAGGGCTTCTATACTTCCATCTAAGAGATTAAAGATGTATGCCAAGTTAGCACTAGACTATTTCTTTAAGCTCTGTAGTTCACATGAATATAACTTGTTTTCATATTTGGAAGCAAAAGTTAACTAAATGCCTGTTTTAAAGATAACAAGCATATTCGCCAATCCCCAACTAGATACAGGGCTGATAGACCAGGCTGTCAGAAGGCTACCTGGAATAATTTTCCTCTTCCATATCCTCTTCCACTTTTAGGCCAGTTCCTTATTTATCAAGACAATAGAAGAATTAAAGACAATGAGAAAATACCACTAAGTTAAATTATTTCTTTTTACAGCTGGATTAAATAATGGAGAAAACCAGTGAACCTGAATAGCTAAAGTTATACTTCAGGGTTTTCTGTGGTTCTGGCTGCTCATGGCTAGCCAGTGCTTTGTTATTAGAGAAGATGTGGGGAAAATTCATGAAAGCACACACATTATAGAGCTTTATACTTCATCACACATGCTGTCTTCATGTCCTCAAAGCAGCTTTCAAATTTTAGAAGTTTTAATACACAGAAGAGCCACAGGGGAGAGAAAGCAGGGAAGAAAGAATTCGTTCACTCTATTTTGAACTTATTTTATTTATTCATTACTATTAGTGTCTATGTATGTGTATGCATGTTCACGATGTGTGCATGAAGTGTGTGGGGGTGCACATGGCACAGCACACATGTGGAGGTAAGAGGACAACTTTGTGGGGTCAGTCTTCTCCTTCCATCTTTATGTTGGTTTTTGAGATTGAACTCAGGTCAGTCACTAGCCTTGTGCAGCAAGTGCTTTATCTACTGAGCTGTTTTACTGGCCCCTTATTGCCCCTATTTTGTAGAGACATAATTTTTACTAAAACATTCACTGAAAACATACTAGCAAGGTTTTACACTTTTACTATCAATTACATTTTTATGTACTTATCTACCACAAAAGGAAAAAAATGAAACTAGAAAAATAATTAACTATACACTTTCTTTCATGACTCATGTGTCCTTTTGCCTGCATTCTGTCCTTCCTCAGCATCTTCCTCACCTTTCTAAATGCTATTCTATACTCACACTTACAGCTGTTTACATATATATATACATATATATTTTAGGCTAGGATTCCCATATGTGGGAGAACATGTGATATTTTCCTTTATGAATTTGTGATGTCACTTAATGTTATATATTCTAGATCAACCATTTCCTGCAAAGTTAATGATCTCATTTTTCTATAGAACTAAATAATATTCCATTTTATATATGTAGCAGATTTTCATTATCCATTCATCTGTTAATGGAAATCTAGGTTGGTTTTGTTTCCTCTATATAGTGAATAGAGCAGCAGTAAATGCGAATGTAATTGAGAGTGAAAGTTTAAACCCCAAGTGAAGCTCCATTGCTTCAGCATGGCTATGTTAACTGTATAGAAGCTCATTGAGATGTATAGAGTTAGGGGCTAGGTAAGTACTTGTTTGTGTGCCCACCTTAATCTAGCTGTATGATTTTGTTTAGAAGTTGTATCAGTTACTTTTTCTATTACTTTGATAAAACACCATGGCCAAGGCAACTTATAGAAAGACTTTGTGCTTATGTTCCAGAGTCCACCATGGTGGGGAGTTATGGTGGCAGAGGTAGCTAGAACAGAAGGCTGAAAGCTCACATTTTTAAGTACGTGGAAGAAGCAGAGAGAGAGCATGAAACAGGAAGTGGGACAAGGCTATGAGGTCTCGAAGTCCACATCCAGAGACGTGAGTGAGTCCTTCAACCTAGCCACACCTCCTAAAGGTTCCATGACCCTCCTCAAACAGCCTTACCAACTGATCAAATGTTCAAATACTTGAGCCTATGGAGGACACTTATTCAGACTACCACATGAAATCATTATAGTAAAATGACATTTTATTTTATTTAG